GACAGCCTCCTCTTTCTCCCATGGGGAAATTGGTTGGTTTTAACAGTATCAGCACAATGTTAACCCTCAGCACTACCAGGGTTTCCCAAAAAAACCAGCAAGTCTCTTTCATTTGTTTCTAGATAGCAACAAGTCATCTTCGAGTAGCAGCTGTGATGATGCAAAACTTTTCAATTTTATTTTTAAAGAACACTTCATAGGTGAAATAACTAAAAATTCCAAAGAACGATTTGTCAAGTCAATGCCAACTCATAGTCACCCTACTAGGCAGGGTAGAACTGCCCCTTTGGGTTTCTGAGGCTGTAAAGCGTTAAAGGAAGAGAAAGACTCATCTTTCTCCTTTGGAGCAGCAGCTGGTGGGTTCTAACTGCTGACCTTGCAGCCAAATGTCAATCCACTCAAGCCCCAGGGATTCTAAGTGAGGTAAATATTGCTGTTAGTTGCCATCCAGTCAGTCCTGGCCCCTTGTGAACTTAAGCACAACAGAGCAAAACCCTGACCATCCCTGCACCATTCTCCTGGTGGTTCCTGTGCCTGAGCCCATTGTTGCAGCCACTCTGTCAGTCTGCCACCTTCAGCACCTTCCTCTTTGCCTGCTCCACATGATGTCTTTCTCCCACGACTGGTCTCTCTTGACAACATGTCTAGAGTATGTAAGATGAAATCTCACCATCCTTGCTTCTAAGGAGCTCTTTGCCTTTAAGGAGCAAATAAGTTTCCTTCTATTTTTTTGAGCAAGGAAGCTTGCTCTTAAATTTTTCAGTGTTTTGTAAGCAAGATGTAGAACACTTGGTAGACTTTTACTTTCTTTCCATATTTTTTCTTATCCCCTAAGTGTCTGCTTTGTAGACTTTTACCTTGTTTGCTTTTAATAAGGTAACTCAATAACTTACAATCTCTAAATTCCTTTAATATACTTTATTATGGTCTACAAATATAATTTTGAAGCAGATCTAATGGTTTTGAAATTGGTTCTGTGATACAGGTGTATCTCATTGTCAGCTTCCTGCTTGAACTCCAGAATTAGAGATTGAATGGTCTACTTGACCTCTGAGCATGTTTAATAGCATTCCAAAATGCCTGTGTCCAAGTTCCTGTTTCCACACTTTGGTAAACCTTCCTCCCTTGAACCCTTCTTCTGTATCTCAGTAAGCAGGGTCATCTTTCCACATCCATCTTTAGGCAATACATTATTGCGCTCTTCTTAATTTTTTCCTTATCCAATCCATCTGCAGATCTTGTCAGCCTCCTTTTGCAACTATGTGTGGCTTCTGACCAGTTTTCAACACCTCCACCACTAACACTCCTGAATAAATAACCAATTCTTCCTGGATTGTTGGAGGATTACTCCCTTGTTCTAATACAGTTATGTTTTCAACGCCATTGCTAGAGTGGTGCTTTCATGAGAGTAAGATCCTCTCAGTCCTTGTTAAATGCTTCCTTGTCTTTCTGCTTCACTGAGAATAGAGCCCTATGGTGTCCGCACACATTTGCACGATCTGCCCCTCTGTCGTGTCTCCTTTCCTGCTCTCCGTCTATTTCAATACTGATCGCTCATGTCTCTGGAATTGTCAGTTTGCTACTGTCTTGGGCCTTGATCCTTGCTGTTCTCTTTATCCTGGAATAAACAGAGCCCTCCTCTTAACTTGCTGCATTACTTCATTCAGAATTTTGCCTAACTGTCCCCTTGCTGCAACTTCTTTGGTTAAGTGTCCCCGACTCAGCTCTGACTCACAATGACCCTTATGTGCAACACAACAGAAGTGTCTGGTCCTGCTCATAACAGCTGTTGCTGTGTTTCAGCCCATTATTGCAGACACTGTGTCAGTCCATTTCTTTTTTCTATACTGCCCTGCTACCTTACTAAGTGTGGGGTTAAGGGGAAGAGGGAACCCCACAAAACATCACAGGTTCGGTAGGCGCAATTGTACAGCGATAATAAGTAGAGATTATAGTAAAGTCATAGAGAGCATGAGAGTTAAAGGACGGAGTCAAGTAATGGAGTCAGACGCAATTCATGGTAGCATAGCTCACCTCAGCCAGGCTTGATGGTCCTCGTGGAGGGGGCTCAGTCGTCAGAGAAGAAGCCGCTGCTTCATCCTCCTTAGTCACCTTTTCCAGCCACCCTCCCGAGAACCAGGGAGCCTCATTATTTATTGCTAACCACGCATCATATCACTTTAGGGGGATCTGATTACAGCGTCATACATCACAGAAAGGGGCAATACAATTCATTCTAGAACAAGTTTGATCATCCTGGTGTCTCATACAATAAAGCAGGCAATTACTATCCTGGGAGACATGCAAGCCCCCTGATAGCAGATAACAACCTACGTCATAGAGAAGGGTTGTAACATAGGCAATACAATCAATAGGAGGGGGATGACCTAGGGGTGAATGTGCAATAGTAAGAGGAGGGAATATGGGGGGATGTGTGGCAAGATAGTAGCCTAAGCTTAGTCACCTTAGAGTGGTCCCAGGCTTGCCTATGGGCACTGCTTCGAGGGAACAATAACAGAAAGGAATGGGCCCTATTTGGGGTAAGTCAGACTATGCAGTCTGGCTGCTCTAGATGGCTGACATTAAGGAGAATAACCTCTGACCTACTTTCGCTGCCTAAAGAACAGTCATTCTCAAGCAGCTAAGTCTGGTATATATTTTGGGGAGACAACTTAAGAGAAATCCTTCTGTTCCTCACAACTAAGCATGATACCCTTCTCTAGAGATTTTTCTCTTCTCATAACATGTCCAGAGCACATGTATCACTAGTCAGTCCTTTAGTAGCTGAACTCCCGCCAAGACGGATTTGTTTATTCTTATGGTAATAGTACTTTAAGCATTTTTCTCCAAAGCCATGACCCAAATGTATAAACTTTTCTGCAGCCTTCCTTCCTTATTTATTGTCTTAACTTTCACGTGTATAAGAGGTGATTGTATCAGATATATCTTAGTCCTCAATGTGACATGTTTGCTCTTCAGCATTTTAAGGAGGTTTTGTGTAGCAAATTTGCATAATACAATGTCATTTGATTTCATGATTGCTCTTTCCATGAATATTGATTGTGGATCCAGGTAAAATGAAATCTTTGACAGCTTCAGTCTTTTCTGTTTACCATGATGTCTATTGGTCAAATTGTGAGAACATTTCTTTTTCTTTACACGGAGCGGTATTCTATACTAAAGGCTGTATTCCACGACCATCTTTAGGAAGTGCTTCCTGTAGTACTCACTTTTGTCAGGCAAGGTTATGCCAGCTGCAGCTCAGGCTATTAATAAGACTTCCTCTAATATTGTGTTCTTCACATAGTCCAATGTCTTGGATGATTTGCTCAGCATACAGATTGAATGAGCATAGTGAATGGATAGAGACTTGATGGCAACGTTCCAGATCTTAAACCCTGAAGCAGTCCCTTGTTCTTTTCCAAAAACTACCTCTTGGTCTCTAGAATTGAAGTCTGATTATAAGAATTTATGGAAGAATTATTGAGTCAATTACCATTGCAACAGTTAAGCAAATCGGCCCAATTCTGTGCTTACGTTCCTCCTCTTCTTTTTGTGATATAAAATTACAGAGAAAAGAGAGTATGTTTTCTTGAGTTGATAGGTGGTTTTATTTATTTATTTATAGCAAATGTGATGACCTGCAGAGCACTAATTGGACTGGGTAAAAGTGGAACTGACACACACACATCTCTATATTTGGTTGTCTACCAATAAGCCTACTGCCTGGTTTTTGTCAATAGCCAGCACCAGTCTTCCTTTTTTATTTTTTGGGGGGACATGAAAATTTCTAATTCTAAAGGGTAGTTAGAGGACTCATTTCTTCATTTCTTTATAATCCTACACAAATTCAATAGGGCACTCAGCTCACCGTTTATACCAAGGCCTGGTCTTCTCTGACTCCTTTTTCTAGACAATTAAGACCTGTATCTTTCTCCTTAGCATGTACATCAATATTATAGTGTCTGTCACAGGAGATGCAGTTTTTATTGAATGCATCCTAAAACCCCTAAGCAACCACATTATTAAAGGAACGTATCCTATGGCTCTTTGTAAAAGGTCACTAATCAGAACATTTCTTTTCAAAGTAGAATTTTAGACGACAGTTGGGTAAGTCTCCCAATTCTAATAACCAATTGGTATATGACCTTCAGCAAATAACTTACCTCAATTCAATGGACTCATTTATTATTGGATGCCGCTTATATGACATTTATGCTATGCTGGGTTCCATTATGTGTTCAAATCTAACTTGACTTACAGCTTTGAGTGCTCTCTGGTGAATAGATAACATTCTTATTCCCGGGATTCTTATTCACAGTCTGTTGTACAGAGTTGAGGCTACTGAGCCCTGTGGAATGAGTAAGAGAACACGTTTCACCAGATGGTGTGCTATATTGTTAGTGACTGTGGGGAGAAAGGAATGGGAGAGTGACTATATAAAGGCATACAGATTAAGTAGGGTCGGTGTCAAGTAGTGGTGAATGGTATGATTTGGGGAGCCTTTGAATACCCACTTGCCAAATATTTTTTTTAATTGATGGGGAGCAATGTCACTTTCTTCTGCTCAGAGAGAACATTGATTTCATAAGTGATCCAAGAGTGTTTCTCAAATATGAACATGCATGCAAATCACCTGAGCATCTTCTTAAAGTACAGATCCGAGGCCTGAAAATTTTCAAATCTGATAATTTCCAAGGTTATATTCAGGCCAACTGATCAGTAAGTGCTAACTATTTTTTCTTACAGATTTGAGCGATTTATCCCGGCTTATACTAACATTGAGATTGGTCCTTCTGGGAAGGAATCTGTGAATTATTTATTGCAGACAGTTATTCATATTTCTGTGTTTGAATATAGTAGCGAGGTGTCGTCCTGCAAGTTACAACTCAGAGTGATCCTGTGTGCAGTGGATGAACCATTGCCTCATCCTGTGCCCTCCGCACACGGAACATATGTGAATGGTGGACTTATGCATTTCCTCCGGCCTTTGTTTACAGAGGAGAGAAATGACTGGATCAGCATACTATTAAATGCACTGAAATCGCAAGCCCTCACCTCACAGTCTCCAGCAGTGGTTGCACCTGAGAAGTGTGGATATCTTGAACTGAGGGGCTATAAAGCCAAAATTTTTACTGTGTTGCGTGGGAACAGCGTGTGGCTTTGCAAAAACGAACAGGTAAGCCATGTGTTAGCAATGACAAGTTGCTGCCTCTTAGTGACATTAATAACTTTGCTCTGCTTGTTGGAATTGTTTTCTCTTTTTTCTTTCCAACTTTGTGCTACCTTTCCCCATGGTACTTCACAATGAAAGGATTGTTTTGTCAAATTGCCCCAATTTCTCCAGTAGCAGGGAAGATAAGGCGATCACATTTGAGGCTGGACATCCACTTTTGAAGGGACTGAGGAAAGAGATTAATTGGAAATGATTTTCAAAAGTATTCCTTAGTTGAAGTAACATTTTAAAGCTACATGGAAGAATCATTAAGAGCCACTTACCATTACAGCTATTGAGAACATAGGCCCTATTCTGTGCCTGATTTGCTTCCCTTGTTTTATGATACAAAATTATAGAGAAAATAGAGTATGTATTCTTGCATTTATAGGTGGTTTTATTATTTTTCCCCTCCTTTTAGCAGAGGCATTGTCTTTGAGAACTAATTGACTAGAGGAAAGTGGTGCACACACACAAATACACACACATACTCTTGTCCATTTACCATCTGTTTATTTGCTTGTCTATCAATAACCCCACTAACACCACAATTGATTCTGACTCAGAGTGAGGCTACAAGGCAGAGTAGAAACGCTCCCTAGTGTTTCTAAAGCTGTCCATCTTTATGGGAGCAGAGAACCTTGTCTTTCCCCCACAAAGCGGACGATGGGTTCAAAACCTTGGCCTTGAGATTAGCAGCCCAGTGCTAACCAATTATTCTATCAGACCTCCTTGGTTAACATTGATAGACTACTGAATCTGGTAAATACTGGAAGATTCAGTAGGGACTGTTGTAAAGATATGTTTAGCAGAATAAAGTTGTGATATTTTATGAACATTATTTGCTTCTGCAGACTGTTTTTTCCCTTATATTTATAAGTAAATTATTCCTTCGCTCCTTGTG